GGCTCCCCCCCCCCCCACGCTTGCCCTCTCTATCATTTCGGAAGACATTATATCCTTGTAATTGAATAACAGAATCATTATCTAGTGAGGTCAAAAAAGTTCCAGAGATAGCCAGAATATCAAATTGATCTTGGGAACATTTCAGTTATATTTCATTGATGTGAGTTTTTAGTCTGTTAGCGTTAATATGGCCAATTTTTAATGAACTTTGTGAGTTAGAGTTAGAGGGAGCTGCTGTTTGAGGGGGTGCATGGCGTCATACTATGGGCGAGTCACACGGGGGGAGAGAAAGTAAATCTGCTTCAGAGTACACGGGTATTAACTGAGATGTCAGAGTTTGGTGCATGCACACAGTAAGGTTTCTTATAAGAGGAAAGGCGTAGTTCATGCGCTTGTGTGCTTTCACGGCAAGGCGCCAGAGCAAGTAGACCTGCTGAGGTAGAAGTGGGCGTAGATAGAGAGTAGAATTTCCACCCTCACCAAAGATGTCAGCTGACTTTTTCTTGGCCAATTTGCCAGATCGTCCCGTAACACGGTCGTGCATCTCAGCCGAACTCATTTCAACGACAATCCCTCGGGTATTTGAAGCAGCTGGGGCATGAGACAAAGAGGATGCAGGTTTTCTTGCAGGTGCCCATTCACGAATCGAAGCAACAAATTTTTCAAAATTACTACACCCGACCGCATTAAATATAGTACTAACAATCTGTTCGTTTGAGTGTTGAACTGAGTTCAGTATGCCAGAAATTATGAGTTCAGCAGTATCTTGAAGCAACGAGTTGGCCGAAAGGTTTGCAACCGTAGTACGGACACTGGCAATGTCGGCAGTAGTCCTTTCTTGAAAGTCTTTCAATGAGTTATCAAGCGTATCGAATCGAGTATTGAGTGTTGCGGTGTTATTATCAATTTTGGAGTCGAGCTTTTTGAGATGATCCATAATATCAGAAAGCGATGGTCCTGTATTTTTGCCCGCCATTATAGAAGAATTTACCAATAAATTTCCGACAGTATTATCCGATAAGCGCCTACTTTTGGGGTTTATAGAGTGTTCCGGTGGAGAAGGTTCACGGGGTCGTTTTGCAGAGGGTTTGCTTGCGTTCAGTAGAGAAATCCCACCGTTGAGTATAGTTTCCCGGGAATACAGTGAAACAGAGCAACAAGTAAAGAGTGAGTCAGAGCTTCGAAAATACCAGCTTTGTTGTGTACATTTAAAATGGTACGGTTTTTTACAAGCAGAACAAATACATAAGCGTCTGTTTATATCAGTGTTGGAATATTTAGCGCTACGACAAATTATGCAAGACTTTCTAGTCGTAATACGGTGGCATAATAAATAAAAACATAAATATAACTAAGCACGAAGTCAACAATTCTATGCTTCAATCAAACAACTACTGATTTAGCATATAGGTATATATGGTATTAAAGCTAAGAGTAGATCGATAGCGTCGTACGTATCAAATCGCGTATAAATTTTGAAAACAATAACACAGCGAGAGAGGAGAACACACTCTCAAGGGAACCAGAGAGACTGGTATAAGCTTAGTTAATCGATTAAAGTAACGTTCAGAAAGCGAAAATATTCTCACTCACTACGCAAGTTAACGGCTTTGTCGGTCAAGGACCCTGAATAATTCAGTGTTGGGATGCTGAAAAGCAGGATCTGATCGAGTGGCCGGAAGAGAAGCAGCAATCACGTTGAATAATCCGTATTCAGGTCCATCAACAAGGCATTGAGATAGGCATCGGTCAACTCGGTAGCCGTCGGTGCTGAGAGCATCGGTCATGTAGGGGCTCGGCCGAGATGGAGTCTCGCCCACCGATGCAGGTGGGTGAGGGTGCGCAGGAGGACGCCCAGATCGGAGAACAGTCGGAGGAGGTCGAACTCGACCTTTTGCGTGACGCTGCAGAGGCGAGGAGGTGAGGGCTGTGGCGGCTCGGAGGGCTCCTGGGGCCAACGATCAGGGCCTTCGGACAGTCAGGAAGGGCCAGTCCACCATGTCTGCTGGCGGTGTAGAGTCTGGGCATCGGTGCCTCGAGACGCCACATCGGCAGGATTGTCATGAGTAGGCACATAGCGCCAGATCTGCGGTGGCAGTACCTCCTGGATGTGGGCGACGTAGTTGTCGACGAGAGCGTGGTTGGTCGGCTAGGCGGAGCGGAGCCAGCGTAGAACGACTTGGGAGTCGCACCAAGCGTAGCAGTGCTCAATAGGGATGTTCCACTCGCTGACGACCAAGCGCAGCAGTTTCGCAGCAAGCAGCGTGGCACACAGCTCAAGGCGAGCGATCGTCATGCGGGCCTGGGGCGTGGCTGACGGCTTGAGGCTTCGGATGAACGCAAGTTTCGTCTTGGCCAGCAGAATGTGGCAGCGGACTTGCATTGAGGAGTCCTGCAGCTGGGAGTACACCACCGCGCCTATCGCGCGGTGGCTGGCGTCTAAAAAAGCGTGGAGGTAAATCTTCGACAGAGCCGAAGATCCAATCCAACGTGGAATGAAGAAGCCTTGGATTAATTTCAGCTCAGTGGTGAAAGCTGACCACCGACGAGCCATTGATGCAGGTACGACCTCATCCCAATCTAACCGGGCGCGCCAGAGATCCTGCACAAGGAGCTTGGCTTGGAGTATGGTCCGCGCGAGCCAACCGCAAGGATCGAAGAGGCTCGCAATACCAGCAAGGATGCTCTGCTTGGTGTCCTGTTCTCGGGCTGCCGGGGATGTGAGCCGGAAAGTATCCGAGGCTGGGTCCCAGCTGACGCCAAGTTCGCTGACGAGGCCGGCGTCGCTGATTTCACGCCACGTAGGGCGCAGGCGAGCTTCCTGGGTGAGGTCAGCCAGAAGTTCGGCGTCATTGGCAACCCATTTCCGAAGTGGAAATCCGCCTGAGCGCAGCAGGCCAATTACTTGATCTCGAAGCTGTCGGGCCGTTTCGAGGTCATCGGCACCCGAGAGGATGTCATCTGCGTACCGTTCGTTCATGACGACAGGTACGGCGTCCGGCCACAAGTGTCCTTCGTCATGACAGAGTTGTTTAATCACACGCAGTGACAAGTAGGGCGAGCAAGTTACGCTATAAGTGACGGTGCGCAGTTGATAGTGTACAGGCGGCTGACTTGGATCGGGGCTCCAGACGATGCGCTGAAGGTCTGCGTCTCGCGGGTCGACCCAGATTTGGCGGAACATCATCTGGACATCGCTGCAGAAGGCGACGCGATGTCTTTGCCATCGCAGCAGGACTGTCGGTAGTGCGGCCTGGAGTCTCGGCCCAGAGTGCAGGATGTCGTTTAGGCTGTAGCCGCTCGAGGTTGGGTGCGAGGTGTTAAACACGACACGCAAATTTGATCCAAGGTCCCGTGTTGCCAGATGCCGTGGTGCGGGACGTAGCAGACCGTGCTGCTCGGTTCGGAGAGCTCTTGGCTGGAGAGCTGCTTCATATGACCGAGGGCGAGGTACTCGCTCATAAAGCGGTTATACTAGGTCGCCATCTTTGAGTCTTTGAACACAAGACGCAGGACTTAATGCGTACTTACATCGTGCCGGCTTTCCTCTCCTTGTTGCTGAATCTGGCTCGAAGGACCAATGTTTGAGAAACTCTTTATTTGTTGAGTACAAGGGAAGCGGACCCGGTGACAATGAATAGCGTGCTTTCTGCGTACTACGCTCTGCTGATATTGTTGGTGGACTATCTGTCTCGAGCGGCTTGCTGGCTGCTGCTGGTGTGGCTTAGCTGGCAGTGGCGTGTAGCTGGCCAGCTGATGCGTGAACCTGTGTATCAGGAGACGAACTGAACTGGTCCCGGCCCAGGCCGTCGATGCCAGCGGCAGCGGCGTAACGAAGCGCCGAGACGATCAGGAGGGGGGCCCGACCAACAGTATATCGTCGAACGAAACAATTTATTTGACATAAAAATTTTCAACACAACCTGCTCCAAGACTTCAGAGTTCTGTGGCCGTTCCACCATTCCACCTAGTGCCGTCAGAGAATTTTGGGCTACAAATTTAATCCCGGGAAGACAGCCCTGAGGGGCACGGGCAGCCACAATGGCTACCTTCTCAGTGGTCGTGCCCCCAACGGTATACCCACATTTTCCCGACTAACGACGAGTGGTTGATTATCTGGGGAATGACCCGAAGACGAGATATTCTTTGGTCAGCGGCGTACCTCCCTCCATCACAGTCTCCGTACATATAGACTTCAAGGGTAAAAGTCAAGCTACCCGTAGCTAGCTCTTCATCATCAGGAATAATAATAAGGAATAGCTGGAAGTTTCACCACTGGCCCTTTTCAGGGTCATTATAAGTATTTACGTTTCCTACTTAACCATCAATCTCATCGGTTGTTTTAACGGTCACCTGAGTTTAAACTACCTTGCGAACAAATACATTTTCTCCCTCTCCTAGTCAAAAGTACGTACCTCCTGGTCGGTTTGCTTGGCAAAAAAGAGTCTCTTTTGTTTACAGTCGAGACACGACTTTTTTCGTTTCAAGCCGAGACTAATTAACCTAAGTTTAGTGTAGCAGCAGTATTGTATAGAGTTGTGTGTTTACGAATTACAAGATATTTGAGGATATCATACAGTGACAAAATCGAAAAAAGTAACAAAAAAGTACAACGGTGATCCTCCATAATTAATAAATAATAAATCATTATTTACGTTAAATAATAAACAAATAACAACTTGTTCTCGTAGTTTAATAAAATTTAGATGGTTATATTTTTTTTCTTTGTGATTTTGTGTCTATTCCTATGACTTCGTTTTCCATTTTGTTAACTTGTGCATGTGCTTTTTGACGCCCGCCCCCGACCTGCAAGGCCTCGCCTTCGGCTCGGCCGTCGAAGGGTTGGCGGGTGTCAACACACACATGCACGGCAGCACAGCAGCAAAAATTGCATAATCGAGCAACGAGCTGTCAGCTCGTAAGCTCACACTCGTTGTGCATACATCCTTAATACCTATACATATCAGCGTATGCTGCACGTACAGATATTATTAATTAAAAACGTACTTTCGGGTTGGCGAGGGAGCAAAGAACTATACGATACTTGGCTGGACAGTTTGAGTCGATGGCATGCGACTTATGACGGCCTCGGATTCGCCTCGGCCATCAAAACCTTGCAGCTATAAACTCCAACTTTCCGGCCTAGTGTCGTAATCTACTATTTAACTACCATTTCCGAAAGCGATTTGTCGACTAAAAGACTATATTGACTAAAGACGGCCACTATTAAACCAAGTCAGTCATTCTCTGGCAGTTATCACGAGCGAAGATGTTCTTCGCAAGGCTGGAAACCCCGGTAACCGACGACCCTATATTACCCTCTCGACTCTAAGCATTCAACCAGGAATAACCAATCCTCTCCAAGGTCTGCGCTGGGCGAACCTAACAGCTATGAATGAAAAAAAAACTTGAGCCAACGGGAAAGTCTCCAACGGGCAAGCATCACGAACCAATCTCCCCATTTTAGATCCCCAAAACAACTGAGTCTGCAAAATAAAGATGCTTTGGACACCAACGTCTTCGACGTTATACTAGGAGACGTTGGGAAAGATCTCTACAACTAGCTCCAAAGCTTTGGACTTTGTAATTTTTCTCACGATCAGTCTGGGGTTTCAGTAGCAGGCCAGAGAAAATTACCCTGAGGTATCCAGGGAGTCATAATTACTGTTAACTTCAGTCAAGAAAGAGTTTACTTAAGAAGCTCACCGATCTTTTTTAGGGCCATCGGACGTTGAACTACCTTGCCAACAAATATATTAAAATTTAACAAAGTTGACAGATAACAGCCTTTAGAGGTCACAATAGTCTTAAGCATGCCAAAAGCTACAAGAGGGTGAATTGGAAGAAAAACTTTAAATTTATCTGATAAATACAATTTTAGGTGTCAAGAAACTGACGTAGAGAATTTAACGAGATTGGAACAGAAGCATCAAAATCGACAAATAAAGAATCCATTACGTGGAAGATCAGCTTTTTATTGTACCCTCACAGTGATCTCTCAAATTTTTAAAGATCTAAATTCAGATTTTCTAAATAAGTAGAAAATGTATTTTTGCTTTTGAGGCAATAAAAAATGTAGATTTTAAGGTCCAGGACTTTGTTGCTCTGGTAATAAAGTTGTGAGATAAGAGAAAAAAAAAATTTTTTTAATACGTATTTTTTGGTAGTTTTAAATCTTAATAGCTTTAAAAAATAGCCCTTTTCGTAAATTATACAGAAGAAACTGCAAATCAACGGCTTCTTATGGCCAACGGTTATTTTATAGCATAAGGAACGCACGTTACTTTTCAGCATAATTATATTTTTTTTTATTTTTACAGCTTACTATTTGACCACATAAACTGAATGGATTGCGAACAAATATGTGTTTAATAAGACGATTTTTATTCTGAGAAGTCAAGTGTCGTGTCAGGAATGGATGTAAAATTTTAAATTGAAAACGTTTTACATTACATGTCAACACACTACGGCGTTCCATTTAGTAAGTTTCGGTTGAAGGGGGGTCCACTACCCGAATAGAAATGAAAGTCGGTTGCCTCTCTAGTTTGTGAGACCCTACTTAGGCAGCCTACTGAAGGCACACGTAGGCGTGTCAGGGAGCGTGCGTGAGGTACTTATTAGGCAGCCTACATAACCTACTTTTATCTTACTTCTCAAATAGTGTATATACAGTTGTATCAGCTAAAGTTGCAGTGTAAACTGTAGCGTAAAGTTATACACAGGTATATAAGTTACAAGTTTCTTTCATTGAGTCCTAGACAAATGATTAATGAGTATTCTTATACATATGAGACTGACAAAATCAATAGACATTAAATTTGTTGTCAACTAAACAAAGTTTCTCAAAATACTGAGTTAGACATAATAATTGTTGCTTTAAAATGTTTCAATAAAAACTGTTTAAAAACCGTACTTAGATTATGAAACTTAACATCCAACAGCTTGTACACTGTCATTTAGATGTCTGGCGTCAAATCAAGTTCATCTGTCATTTAATTGAGTCTATATGTTTTTGTATGAAATAAAAAGTTAACTGCAGTGTGAGAACTTCATTTGTATTCAGTACTTGGTTATGATTTATTAATAATTCCTCAGAATTAACTTACGAATCACATGTTCAAATTGTAAACTTGATATCAATTGTGAATGAGATATTTTTAAGGTTACATTTATATAATCATTTATAACAAATTTCTATTTATCTCAGGGTTATATTTTTGTAACTACATGTGATCAACAATGCCGTAATAGAAAATTTTCATGAAAATTAAGTATGATTCGTTTGAAATGGAGCATGACTTTTATTTAGTTAGAATATAATGTGTATTCTCATATTTACATATCTGTATTTATCGATTAAAAGGTGGTTATGTTACGTCAATGTAGGCAGCCTACTTAGGGCCTACTAAACGCCACCTGACGCTGCCAACGTAGAACCTCAGTTGGCAAGAGAGGCAGCCTAAGTAAGCCCTACCGATCGCCTACTTACACTTACCGTTCGGGTAGTTACGTTATAATACGGCCTTTAAGCAACGTTTGAAAATATCTGGAAAAAGTCTTCATCAGCTTTGTAAATACCCTTCTTGAGTTCGTCCATCAATCCATTAACATTGGGACAATACACGAGATCTACGTCGCTTGAGAAATATTTTTTGATTGGTTCATCTCCGTTTCGGTTGTATGAAGTTTTTGTTCCTTCTGTCAATAAATTTTTTGTTTTAACTTTGAAGCAAGTAGCTCAGCTCCTTCTTTAAGTAATCCTAGATCTCTTACTAGATCATTTAATTCTGCCTGGTCAAAATCTCTCCCATTTTTTGTTGCCCTATGGGCACATATTTATCATCGCTTATGTCTGACATTATATTATCAACCTCGAAATTTTCATCAATTTTTATTTTATTGATTAAAAAGAAATTTCACTGTCTTCATTGTCATAACTTTTTTCTGTTGGAGTCATATACGGCTTTTTTACACTCGAAATACTTGCATACTCAATTTTGTGAAAATTTGGGGATTTGAAATGATTTGTTTTTATCATGCAAAAATAACAATCTTCTTTACTTTCTGGCTCACTCTAAACCATGGGCTTTACAAATTTTAACGGAGTTTTATTTTTTGTGTACTGCATAAAGATCAATCTACAATAATCACATATTAATTGTGGTAACCAATACTGTTTATTCTTAA